TGTATATATATATATATATATATATATATATATATATATATATATATATATATATATATATATATATATATATATATATATATATATATATATAAAGAGAGATAGTCCTGCATTTATTAGAAGTGTCAACTCTCCAACATGTCAGAAACAAGTAAGGCTAACTTAAAAATAACACTTTAGTGGTAAAGGAAAAATATAGCTTTTTCCTTTAGGTTTATATAAAATTTTGTTGAAACCTTTGGAGAATCCCTTAGTCTTCCTGTCTTGCAAGTGATGTAGTCCATATAGTTTATGCTGCATGAAGTGAATTAGAAGAATAATTGTAAAATAGTACACATCTTTCTCCTCTAGTTAGATTTGCTTTACCACCAAACAAAGGTTAACAAATGTAAAGAATGCTTTGATAGTAACAAGGGAGGGAACTAGCACTTCTACTACATTCCACATCCTTCGCAGAGTCATAACAACACCTCTGATGACAGACAGGCTAAAAATAGTTTTAAGATTGTATTTACCTTACAGGAAGTTTGAAGCTTCACTCTCTTGCAGACACGCCAACGAGACGCACAAACCTGAAACTTCGGATCCTGCACTGGGGTTTAAGAAATGTTTTAAGGAGGAAAAACTTCACCAAACATAGAAAAGATGGAGCAATTTTTCAAGTTTTGGTTCTTTTTGGCAATTTTTTCATTGCAGGTTTTCTGTAGTGAAGCCTTACAAGAGGCCAAGTCTCCAGGGGACATTATAATTGGAGGATTGTTCCCAATACATGAAAGTGTTGATGATAATGGACTCTGTAACAGGTATTTCTTTATTTCTCTAAAGCAATGTGGTTGGCCTTTGGCATGTGTAAATAGCGTGTTTTAATTTATTTACCAGGTTCAGTGTTGCTCGGCTGGCCCAGTCTCTGATGATGGTGCATGCAATAGAGGAGATAAACCAGAGTGGAGAACTTGGTAACATCACTCTGGGATATCACATAGTGGACTCCTGCGGTGATATTACCACAGCATTGAGAAACACTCTGCCCTTCATGAAAATAAATGGTGAGCACTCTCAAAACATAATTCATATAAAAACAAGCTGTCTTTCTAATATTAGGCCGTGATTTTAACCTGATAGGTCAACAAAGCAAATTGCATAATGTTTTCTGTTAATACTTTTGATAGAATACTAGAGATATGGCGCCTGAATTTATATGTTGCATTTGTCGATGACCTTCCGCTTATCCTAGAGGTATTGGATGCAGGAACAAAACCAGTGACAGCACATTGTGGGAAATATTTAGTCCCTCCAGCAAGATCTGGATCTCTCCCGGGGTCTTCTTCCAGTTGAATGTGCCCTAAAAATCCAAAGCCTGCACCCACCAGCCATACGTCAGTCAGTTTTATCTGCTGCATTATTCTTACGGTTAAGATTCATATGTCTAGACTAGACCACAGCTGGAGTTTGGAATGTGGACGGGTCAGAAAATAAAGAGCTTTGTTTTTTGGCTCAGCTCTTTCTTCACCGCAGCAGCCGCAGCAGCTCACGGTACTGCAGAGGATGATCCAATTTGTCTGCTCATATGCTAACATTATGACAAGAACAAAATACATGAACTCCTCCCCATCTTGCAGTTGAAACTCACCTTCTGTTCGTATGTTTTCTACAATCACAACACAGATCGCGAACAACACTTCACCCCACCGGTGATGGCCGTCATAGGAGATTACTACTCAGAAATATCTGTAGCAGTCACAAGACAACTCAACTTGGAGAAAATCCCTGAGGTATGATAAAAATGGGAAAAAAATATGTCTTAATTCATGCATTTATGATATATTTAACTTAATGATCAAATGTAATGAATAAATAAAAAATAAATATCCTCTTTGCTTAGTCAGATGAAAATCACTGCATACAAAAAATTTTACACACCCATATTTGCCAGAAAACATGTCGATGTTCCACAAGACCTTTGAGAAAATTTTCTGTGGACTGATGAGGTTGAAACTCGAATTTTATTGAAGTGAAAACCATTCTGACAGTCAAATATGGTGGTCAGAATGAGCAATGGTCTGAGGCTTTAGCAAATACTTCTTCACATTACTCTACCTCTGTAAAGGAGAAGGTATTTTACTTTCAAATTGCCATAGTTTGACACTGATATTATTATTATTATTATTATTATTATTATTATTATTATTATTGGTGTTGCTGTTCTAACATGAGATTTTTGATATTTGTACAGATCAGTTATGGTTCTACATCTGGATTATTAAGTGATAAAACTCGCTTCCCAAGCTTTCTGAGGACTGTACCAGAGGACGATCACCAGGCAAAAGCCGTCATTGAAATTCTCAAGGATCACAACTGGAACTGGGTTGGAATTGTGGCAACCGACGGTGAATATGGCCGCTATGCAGTAGAACGTCTCCGGCATCATGCTGAGCGTCATGACATCTGCTTTGCATACATTAAATTCTTGCCAGAGTTTCTTGTTGACAATAACCTCAAGGACAGCATCAACGAAGCGGTCAAAAGCATCACTGAAAATACTAATGTCTCAGTTATCGTCTCCTTCACCAAACCCAACCACATGATGTATATCTTTGACAATGTTCTGAAGCATCACGGAGGTAGAAACAAAGTTTGGATAGCCAGCGACACCTGGTCACAGTCAGTTAATTGTCTGGACACGACAAGGTGGAACTTGAAAGACGTCGGGACAATTTTTGGCATAACCCTAAAATCTGGAAACACATCCAGGTTTGAACAGTTTCTCAGGAATCTTGATAATCGCCCCGATCTGTACGAGAACAACTCGTTTTTGAGCGACTTTTTAAATGGGACTGTCAGTGGCTCGAATACATCACTCGATACAAAGATCACTCAGTTAATCAACATGATATATCCGTATGCTGTGTTCAGTATCGAGTTGGCAGTCAAAGCAATTGCTGAGACTGTTAAAGACCTGTGCATCAACCAGGAGTGCGACATTGCCACGTTACAACCTGAAAAGGTACGCACGTAAACACACACACATAATACAACAGCACACAATACTAAATGACAATAAAATAGTGCTTTGTGTATTTATAACCCCTAAATTCTTACACATTTTGTCACATTAGAAGTTGAAACTAATGTTTTTACAGGGAGTTTTGTCCAAGTGAGATGGAGGGATACATGGTTTTCAAATGCTTTTGGAAATGAAACTTAAAAAGTATGACATGCATTTTTATTATGCCCACTTGGGCATAATAAATTTATTTAAATAAATAAATAAATAAATAAATAAATTTATTTAAATAAATAAATAAATAAATAAATAAATTTATTTAAATAAATAAATGCTGATTTATTTAATCAGCATTTCATATCTGGAGACTTTGACTGGGTCTTTGTAGAACATGAATATTTTTTAACCTGAACTGTTCCATTTTACCTCCACCTGTACGTCTAGGAATATTATTCCATTAAGTCTTTTGTAACCTCAGATAAGTTTTATCCCGATATTGCACAGCACACTTTTCAGATTTCTAGATGTTTCAATATCAATTTATCATTTTCTTTTATTTGACAATTATCCACTATTTTATGTTGGTAAAATCTGAATGAAATACATACAACATTGTGCTTGAATAACTATGAATATTTTGCCAATGAAAAACAGATAAGTCTGTAGCAAATGAGAATAGAATAAATGAAGAATTCACTCTGACAATAATACGCCAAGAAACACTGGTCTCATTGTGCAACGTGTTTCTTGTATGCATGCTTGTTATGACCACAGTCTTCATTGCTTTGTCGTTTCAGTTCAGAGATGTTTTGAAAACAGCAAAGTTCTACTTGGATGGGAAAAAATATTCATTTGATAAAAACTGCAATCTCAACTCGGGGTATGACATTGTCCTGTGGCGATACAACTCTCCAAACACTCTGGACATGAACTATGAAGTTGGTCATTATCACATTGAACAGGGCAGCATGACGTTTATTAGATCGGAAATCAGCAATTTATATCATCAGACTGTAAGTATTTTCATTCTTTAATTAGCTAATTTGTCTTATTTTTGTGAAATATTGCCAATAAACTGTATGGAGTAGCAGTACTCTTGGCTTTTCTCATCAGTGACTATTTGAACAACGTTGTACAACATCTCTGCTTTACAGTGTTAAATCACTAAATACAGGAAACATTAAACTTCCACAGCTCCTTTTTATCAGCCTAATAAAGTCACTCAAGTGACATTTTGTTAACATAAATAAGTTTCTCTTTGAATTACAGCAAAATGAAAGGTCTGGGTTGCGGAAATTTTATGCTAAATAAATAAATGTTAATAAATAATACTGTAAATAACGTCAGTACAAATAAGCAATATTTGGAATATAACATTATGATCATTTTTGTCAAGGAGTTATGATTTACTAAATTTTTCCAGTAAATTGGTTTGGTTAGAACTGTATGAATGTGTAGAATTTGCTTGCTGAAGAAAACTACTTTCTCTTTGTAGAAAAAAGTGAGATCGAGGTGCTCAACGTGTTATCCTGGCGAGTGGAAGGTCCGAAAGGCTGGACAGCCAGTTTGTTGCTACGAATGCAAAAAGTGTCCCATGAACTATTACTCGGCCCACAAAGGTTTGGATTATGCGACATTTAGATTTCTGCAAAGTTCAACAACATTTTAAATAATATTTAAGAACTCATTTTGTGGGAATATCAGTCTACTAGATCAAAACTAGAACATTTTAATGACCATTTACTCTCTAATTGCAGATGCTTCGCTTTGTTTGGCATGTGAAAACACCACTCACTACTCTTTCGAGGGCAGCCAAAACTGCATCAAGAAAAGAATCGACTACTTGGAGTGGGACGATGTCTATCATATTGTGCTTCTGGCTTTTGCTGCACTCGGAGTTCTGCTCACCCTTGTGGTTGCCGTCATCTTCCTCGCCCGCTGGAATACGCCAGTCGTACGCTCATCTGTTGGCCCCATCGCCATCCTCCTCCTCCTCTCGCTTCTGAGTACATTTGGGAGTGTGGTTTTCTTTGGCGGTCAACCCAAGGACTGGCAGTGCCAAACACGACAGGTGTTGTTTGGTTTGAGTTTTACATTATCCGTCTCCTGCATCTTGGTAAGGTCATTTAGGATCATCATGGCCTTTGAATTTGACCCTGTAACACAAGGCATCCTGGAGAAGCTCTACAAGCCTTATCTTATTATTCCATTGTGCATGGCAGGTCAGGTGCTGATCTGCACAGTGTGGCTGGCCTATAGGCCTCCGGTGTTTCAGCAGGATTCTAAATCATTTGTCAAGCTACTTCTCTTGAAATGTCATGAGAATTTACTCCCTGCGTTTGGGGCCATGCTAGCCTACATTGGCTTCTTAGCAATCATCTGCTTCATTCTGGCTTTCAAAGGTAGAAAGTTGCCTGAATGCTACAATGAATCCAAGTTCATCACCTTTTCTATGCTGATTTATATCATAACCTGGATCATCTTTGGTCCTGTTTATGTGAATGTCACAGGCAAGTACAATTCTGCGATTGAAATGGCCGTTATCCTCATCTCAGCTTACAGCGTCCTGTTTTGCCTGTTCTTCACAAAATGCTATATCATCTTGTTCAAAGCGGAAGAAAACACGGTGAATGTGTTTCGTAATACCGTGAGGAACTTTTCAATGGGAAGAGACAGGGATCTGGACAAAAACTATCCCAGTGGAATCCAAAATTCAGCTCTATCAATGGAGTCGCTGTCAAGCCCAGAGCCTTTACACCCTGTAGCTAAGCGGCGCGAGTCCATAAACTCTGTTGCGAAACCATTCTTTCAGTCCCCCGTCTTAGATAAACAGCCACCCTTGCTGCAGGATGAAGCACAATAAAACCAGTTGCAGCAGTATATATTTGGGTGCAGAAATTATTCTTAGATTGTTATATATAATTATATAAAACGCAATATATACAGCAAGTCAAATGTTATTATTTGAGTTATAAGATTATAGAATTTGCTCAACATTCATAATCCAAAGACAGAAAAATATTGTTGGTATTTTTATGGCATGTAATCTAATTTGATAAATCCTCCCTCTAGTTTAATTTCTACAAGCGATTAAAATGACTTGATCAAATTGCTAACAAATAGTACGCGTTTTTAGAAACTGTTGGACCTAATTGTACGAAGGTAAAAATAAATTACGGCGTCATACTCACTCCAATAATAAATTGAGTTAAGCTAACCTAATAGATCAATGGCCTGCTGGTTTTATCACTGACCTATTTAGAATATTCTGTTTATAAAAGCAAAATTTATGATGAAAAAAAAAAAAAAGCACAAAGCACTTATTACTCGTAGAATGAACTTCCTGTTTACCTCTGTATATTTTCCGTATCTTGTTTTCTCACATTGGTCTCCTGTATGTTTTTAGCCATTTTCCAGTCAGAAATGGTGCAACTGAGTCATGATGCCACTTTCTTTCCACTCACTTTTCTGTTCTGCCTACATGTTTTCTATGGGACTGAGATCACAGCTTGGTGATGGGTACTCCAAAATATTCACTTTGTTGTCCTCAAGTTAATTTGGGATTACATTATGTCATCTCTATACCCTGGAATTTAGCAAATTGAAATAATTTTGGTTACTCTGACTGACGTATATATTTTGATTTAATGTCTGTCAAAAAAATTATTATTCTGTATTTATCTGATAAACATACGTTCTTCTTTTCTTGTTGTTTTTGTGCTGATCTAAGTTTGAAAAGGATGAATCCAGCTGATAAGTTGCAGTGTACGGTAACACTTTATTTGAAGGGGGTTGAATAAGACTGACATAACACTGTCATAAACATGACATATCACATGTCATGAACATGAATAAGCCTTCATGAATATTTATGACTGTTGTCATAAAGCGTCATTCGGTAAATTATGACACTTTTAATACAAAGTTGTCATTATTCAAAATGTCTTTATGACAACTTGACATTAACCAGGAAATCATTACTGTTTAAACTTTACCTTTAATAACATAAAGTTACCTAATTTTTAAAGTGCAATCAGTAATTCTTTTATAACAAATTTATATCTATAATGATTTCTTGGTTAATGTCAAGTTGTCATAACAAAGACATTTTGAATAATGTCAACTTTGTATTAAAAGTGTCATAATTTACCGAATGACGCTTTATGACAACAGTCATAAATATTCATGAAGGCTTGTTCATGTTCATGACAGGTGTTATGTCATGTTTATGAAAGTGTCATGTCAGTCTTATTCAACCCCCTTCAAATAAAGTGTTACCCAGTGTACTCAAGAAGCCTACTTCTGTTTGTTTTTAGTAGTATTTTTTTTTTTTTTTTTTTTTTGGGGGGGGGGTGCATTTTTTTT